ATCTATGCGGAGTATGTCAGAACGAGTGGTATAACTGAGCATAATGTAATTCCTTGTGCAAAAATGAATTGAAGGTATAGAATAAATTTTTCGATGTGAGACTTGATTTTTGATCAAATCGATTTTACAAATTCAGCAGAAGCGCATCTACAATTGAGCATCAATCGACAAACGGATTTCGCCACAAATTATTACCTTTGCTCATATTTGTATGTTTATCAACGTTGGTAATATAATTTCATTTCTGTCGTTTCTTTTATTTTATTTACAACCGGTTTCATTTGCCCTACCCATATTGACCCATCTTGTATACCATCGCATACATGAATATACAGAGTGGGCGACATAAAATGTTTTCTCGGGAGCTCTTAAATCTTTTTTTGATCTTAAGATATTGTACGAGAGGTAGGTAAGAATTATGAACGGTACTGTTTTAAAACTTCCATATTATTATTTCTGTGTGTCGTTGTTGCTCATTAATCGGTGGAGGGTTCTAAGAATTCGATTGGTAACTTTATTTGAGAGAAGGAAACACACTTTGGGAGGTTTCAATTGTATTGTAAGTATATTTCATTTCGAATGGGATGAAATTTCTAATTAGTACAAAACTTATTTTAATAATTTCATATATTGGAGAAATATGTTGAGAATGTATAATGACGTTTTGTTTGCGCGGAGCCTTTGTTCCCGTGTGAGTTGAGGTTACAAATTGATCGAGGTACGGGACACGGTTGCAGTAGCAGGAAAAGAACTTTTATATCGTTGAACGGTGATTTTTAAGTAGCAAGATACTTTTAATTCACTGTTCATCTTTGAAACTTGAATGCACACATTGTTGCAGTCTCTATTCTCGAATGCAACATCGATGGAAGCACTATTTCGAATGCAACTATCGGGTTTGCAACTTTGTTGCTGAAAATCGCTCCCGAAAATTGCACAATGTTGCAAACGCGTTCTGGGTTTGCAACTTTGTTGTCTTATAACGGAGAGATCGCGCTTGCAACTTTGTTGCCGAAAGACGCTCCCGAAAAGTGCACATTGTTGCAAAACGGCGCGTCGTGCAACAATGTGCAAATTTTCGCGACAACAAAGTTGCAAACCCAGAACGCGTTTGCAACATTGTGCAATTTTCGGGAGCGATTCGCGGCAACAGAGTTGCATAACGGAGAGATCGCGCTTGCAACTTTGTTGCCGAACGACGCTCCCGAAAATTGCACATTGTTGCAAAACGGCGCGTAGTGCAACAATGTGCAAATTTTCGCGACAACAAAGTTGCAAACCCAGAACGCGTTTGCAACATTGTGCAATTTTCGGGAGCGATTTTCGGCAACAAAGTTGCAACCCCGGTACACGTTTGCCCAGGATGTCCCGTAACTGGTAGTACAAGCAAGCAGGGGGTGATTCTACGTGAAAAACTG